ACTTGAAGATGATGACCGGAAACTTGAACAGTTGTGGAAGAGGAGGAGAACAAGGACCGTGCGGTGCGTGCAAGTTCTTAAGGAGAAAGTGTGTGAAAGGGTGTGTTTTTGCTCCTTATTTCGATGCAGAGCAAGGAACTGCGAGATTTGCAGCTGTTCACAAAGTGTTTGGAGCAAGCAATGCCTCTAAGATGTTACTGAGATTGCCTTTGCACAAGCGGCTTGATGCGGTCGTTACGCTCTCTTACGAGGCCTTGGCTAGGGTCCGTGATCCTGTCTATGGCTCTGTTGGCCATCTCTTCTCTCTTCAACACCAGGTCTTTTACTAAAACATATTTTAAATCGCGAGTGGTTATTACATATATATATATATTGAAATTTAGAAGCAAGACTCTTTGTATGTGTGTGTTTGTTTGTTTAGGTGATGAATCTACAAGCAGAACTTGCTCATGTTCAAGCTCGTCTGTCAACGTTTCAGCGTTTTTCTCTAGAGCCGTCACAACAAATGGAGCAGCCGCCTTTCGATATGACGCATAACAATGAATATGTGATGGAACCAACTAACTTGGATGTTGTATGGGAAGAAGACCAATTACTTCAAGCTGAAACTGAGGAAGATGGGGAATTTCAAGCCATGCACTTCGTCTCTAGGTATTTACCGGCAGTCAAATTTCCAGCTTGCACTTTCGGTTAGGTCAAACTACAAGTGAGACTTATGCATTTTAGCAATGGAGAATGTCTAAGATGGAAAAGGACGAGTCTTTGTTCCCAATAGTTTACTATTTCCGCTTAACATTTCAATTTGCTTTTAAATGAAATGGTTCTTCCACTAAACATCAAATGATGCTATAACAGAGCAAACTCGTTATAATTACTAAGGAGCTTTCATGAGATTTGTAGCACCAAAATGAGCCATTCAATGCCTAGAATACATATGAAGATAATGTTGTGTATAGAGAGAACTGATATAGAGCTAGAATCAGAGAAATCTGTGTTAGGAGAAAGCTGCATTTCCATATGCCCACGAGGCAAGAGATTAGAAACAGAGTCTGAGAAATAGTTCACTCACTATAAACAAGGAGAAAGTGGAAGTTAATATATTAATTTTTCAATCAAACACATATTAAATAAAGGCATAATCTCACCATTATAACAAATCTTAACCATAGTATAAATCATGGGTGGAATTGAGAGGCAAACAGAATATTGTAATATCTACTTTATCTTTTATATATTAATTGAAAAGATACTAAAAAAAAATTAAAAGTGTCAATCACTGAATAATTTAAGAGACATATCATTTAATTTGATCAATCAAAATATTTCAATTAAAAGTACGCCATAGTAGAAATTCTCTACACATTCTCATTATTTTTTAACATAAATACATTAATAAATGTTCTAAAGTTTTAAACCCGACTAACTATAATATTTTAGATTTACTTAGCATAACAAC